GATGTTATATTTTTAATATAATAGTTTTGAAAGTTGTGAAGTGTGTTTATACCGTGATAATTTTGAAGAAAAACTATGGAATTAACAAGGATAATATCAGAGAGATAAGTATCGGCGTATGCATAAAAATATATAACGATAACGATAAAACTAACGGTAAAACTTGAATACTTTGTGTCGTTTTTACTTTTTATAGCTAAATTAAATCATAAGGAGATAAAAGAGGAAGAAACAGAAAATGAGAAAGAAAGAAAGAGAAAAAGCAGAGAATGTGCGAGAAGAAATGAAGAGGAGACAGAAAAAATGAAGAAAAATGATAAGATAGTAAAAAACCATGTAAGAGAGAGACATGGAAAGATAAGAGTAATATATGAGTGAGTTAGAAAATAAAAGAATGAATGAATGAATAAAAAGATAGATAATAAATAAATAAATAAATCTTCTTGTCTGCTGCGATAATAAATAAATTTTGCTTTACATAATATAGGATATTTTATAAGAACATAGAATTAGGATACTGCTTATGTTTGTACTTTTATTATTTTTAAACAAGGCAAGAAGAAAGAAAGAAAGTACAGAAAGCAGGAAGAAAAAAAGAAACTATAAGGAGAGAAGATAGTACCAAGTGTACAAGTATGAAATGCGGATTTTTTTTCCAAAAAAACACGTTAAATTCGGAAGAATGATAAAAAGAGGTTTATTTAAAGTATGCTCCATTGCTAATTACACATTTTTCCCATCTTTCGGGCAATTTATGGATACCACGCCAGTAAAAATCTTCCCCTTTTGCCGTGAACTATTCATCGAGCCATTTTTTACATTTTCGAACGAACCAAAGCGCTGCTCAGCAAGTGCGTGACCCATCGATGCAAACAAGTGGTAATCGGAAGGAGCCAAGTCTGGTGAGTAAGCCGCATGGGGTAGAACTTCCCAACTGAGTGCTTCCAACGTGTCGTGAGCCGGTTTTGCCGTATGTGATAGAGCATTGTCATGGAGAAAAATGATCTTGTGTTGCCTCTTTTGGTATTCTAGTCGTTTTTCAAGCAGCGAACGGTTCAAATCGATCAATTGTTGTTGGTAGCGTTTGGTATTAACCGTTTCACCAGGCTTTAACAGCTCATAATAGACCACACCCTTCTGGTCCCACCAAACACAGAGCATCGTCTTCCTGTCAAAGCGATTCGGTCTTGCGGTTGATGTAGATGGTGCGCCTGGGTCTACCCATGATTTTTTGCGCTTGGGATTCTTAAAATAAATCCACTTTTCATCCCCAGTAACGATACGATGCAAAAACGACTTTCTTTTGTATCGTTCGAGCAAAATTTTACATGTATTTTGCGCCTTTCCATCTGCCTCTCGTTCAACTCATGTGGTACCCATTTGCCGATCTTCTGAATCTTTCCCATCTCTCGTAGGCGATTGGAAACAGCTTGTTGACTAACGTTCAATTGCTCTGCGAGTTGTTTTTGTGTTTATGAATCATCTTCGTCCAACAATGCTTGCAACTCCACATCTTCGTATCTTTTTGGCGGTTTTCCGTGTTCCTTGTTTGCAACATCGAAATCACCACTTTTGAAACGCCGAAACCATCGTTCACACGTATCTTGCAATGGAGCATGTTCACTATAAGCTTCTCGAAGTAATCGATATGCAGTTTTCTTCAAATGAAAACAAAAAATTAATGCTGTCCGCGAATGCTCTTTATTTGGTATAAATGTTGACATATTGAACACAGCAACACAAGACTATGCAAACACTTTTTCAATTTATCACTCATGCGCGTTTGACACTTGTTGATGGCACAACAAAATGACATAAATGTCAAATCTTTATACTACACATTGCATTGGTGCGCCATCTGTTTTCTCAAATCCGCATTTCATACTTGTACACCTGGTATACAGAAAAATAAATAACAGAAAATAGAAACGAAGCAAGGAGAAAGAAAATAGAGAGATGCAAAATGCGAGACAAGAGAAATATATTAGTGAGTAAGAGAATGAATAAATAAAAGGATAGATAATAAATAAATAAATAAATAAACTTTTTCGCCTGCTGCGATAACAAATATGTATTTATTGTTTTACATAATATAGGAAATTTATAAGGATATAGAACTGGGATACTTTTTATTTAAACAAGGCAAAAAGAAAGAAAGGAAGTACAGAAAGCGGTAAGAAAAAGAGAAACTATAAGGAGAGAGGATAGTATACAGACATACAAGTAACAGAAAATAGGAACGAAGTAGGGAAAGAGAAAATAGAGAGATGCAAGATGCAAGACAAGAGAATATATGACTGAGTAAGAGAATAAATAAATGAAAGGATAAATAATAAATAAATAAATAAACTTGTTTGTCTGTTGCGATAATAAATAAGTATTGCTTTATTTTTATAGCTAAATTAAGTAATAAGGAGATAAAAGAGGAAAGGAAAGAAGAGGAGAAAAGAAAAGAAGGAGAGAAAGGAGAGAATATGTGAGAAGACTGAAAAAATGAAGATAAATGATAAGATGATAAAAAAGGCAAAGGAGAGCGGAGTGAGAGAGAGAGAGAGAGAGAGAGAGAGAGAGAGAGAGAGAGAGAGAGAGAGAGAGAGAGAGAGAGAGAGTGTGTGTGTGTGTGTTTGCAGCGAAGTGACAAAGCCGTGACAAGAGTGACACGGTGACATGGTACGCGCGACAACTAATTAATCATCCTGCGCGGCCGAACGCCGCCGTTGCACCGCGCTGCACTGCGCTGCACCGCGCTGCACCGCGTTGAGCGACGGTAGGGTGTGCGGACATGGATGCATGCGGCACAATGAATGCACCGGCATGCACCTACCGTCCTTTTGATTCTGCCGAGCGTTCTGTGACCCGCACTGCCGCAATTGCGTACACGCTCGTGCTTTGCGTCTTTGTTCCTTCGTGTGCGTCCTATTCTCTTGCGCG